GGGGGGGGGTGGGGCGGCACGAAAAGCTTCAGTTGATATGCCGCCGGTGTGCGCAGCAGTGCCTGCTCCATCAAAAGTACAAATTACAAAATGTTCAAGATATTACTGGACATAAGAGTCAGGCATCATGTCGTGCATGTGCTTCGGTATGTTCAGTTTCGCCGTGAAACGATGCCCTTCTGAATACGGCAGGGTGACCAACGAAACCTCTCGTAGGAGAAAGCAAGACTACCCCAGGCTAGACTGCACGTATATGCCGTGTAGTAGACTGACACAGGAAGGAATTTCATTTTGTCAAACCGCTCCGATTGTTGCCAAGATTTGCGTCGTCCCACAGCCAACGGTACATCTTCGCGGTCGCTGTCGTCACTTTGCAATCAATCGTGGTGAACCAAGCGCAACCAGTATCGGCATCGCATCCATAAAAGAAAGGCTTACCAAAATTCCTGTTTACCGTGTTGGCCCTAACGGCAGGTATCACGGTAATCTCCTCGCAGATCAAGAAGTATAAACGCAGCTGGGTGACACAGCACTCAAGAATTCATTGCTACTGTAACATGCACTGGGCGCTGATCTGTGGACAAGAGACGAATTCGGTGCGTTGCGGTAAGAAAAAAAAAGAGAGAGAGCTGCCAGAACCTGGAGGGCTCCAACCACTCGTCCCATCGCCTGCTCCACGAGCGGTAGTGCACGAGGAACCGCTTAGGCCGCCTCTCGCCCATGCAGGTCGCGCCTCTCCGATCGACTCTGCCGTCGCCTCCATCCTCTTCGTCAGGGGTGGTAAAAGGGAGACTCTCGCCGAGATCGACGGCCACTACCTGCAGGTGTGTGTGTACAACAATAGCAGTCGGCACGGTGCGGTGTAACCGTTAACTAAAAATCAATGGCGCCCAACCCGACAGAACCGAGACGGGAGTGGCATGTCGACTGTACAAAAGAGGTTTGGTGGAAGCAGCGTCCAGACAATGGCGCGCGTTGCTGGAGGGTACGTCAGAAGCATGGGTTACTACGCTCCCTTGTCCGAATGCATGTTTCTCTTTCGATTCTCATGTTACACCGGCTGCAGTGGTACGCGACCATTACGTGACATCTACTGCAGCGGGAGGCCCTCCATAGCGCAGGTTGGGTAGAGCGCGTGCTTCCCGAAATAGTGTGAGTGAAATTGGCTGGTACAAATGTGATAATCATGATGATTAAAACATGGAACAGCGCCGGTGAAAGTGCAAATACCCGCAATACAGGGGGCCCCTCAGTGTACACGAGTTTCCCCGGGAGCAGCACATGATACAACGGTACAGCAGCGAGAGCCCACGTGCCGAACCTTAGCGTCCCACCACGACAGCCCGACGAACACCATGCAATCGTCCAGCCTGAACTTTCCCTTCCAGGCCACCTGAGGACAGGACGAGCGAGTGCCATGGTATGACGAGACCAGCACCGGAAAAAACCCGCGAGCGAGCGGCGTACCGCCAACCGACTGATTCGAAAGAAATCTGGCCGTGTGAAGTTGAGACCCGTTTGGAACTGGCGCCAAGGGTTTGTATGCGCCATCAAGCGGAGGTGGGGTAAACACACTCGTGGGAGGCGAGTTATGAAACCGAAACAACACCAAGTGTCTCGCTAGGGGGACAAGACCTTTGGTCATTAGCTGCACCGGTGTAGCACAATATAGTTAGGCCATGCACATGAACGGACAAGAAGTCAGGTAAAAACATCAACCATCACCGGGAAAATGCCGCACTGGCCACTTCCCGCAGCTCCTCGCAGTATCGCTTACGACTTGGTCGCACGCAATGGTGGACATGTCGGAATACCATTTCTCGTAACATTCCTCGGGTACGTCGCATAAGGCATAAGCGCCACTCACTTCCCGTGCGGAAGGACCAGCACGAGCGAGGGCCGCTACAACAACAGACTGACTGGCATGACGACCCCATCTTTCTCTGCCCCCCTTCTCCATCACCTCGACGTGATCCCCCAAGACTGGACACGCCAGTCTAGAGCGAAAGGCGAAGCGAACCATCCCAGACGGCCCTTCGGATGTCGCTGCCGTGTCGCCGGGGTCGAGTCCGACGCGCTCGAATAGCTCCGGAAGGCTGGCGGCGGGACCGAACCTGAAAATAGCCGCAGAGATTCAATCGAATTGTCCTCAGGACCATCCGCGACAGGGAGGTGAATCAGATACTCCCTGAGAAGAACCATTTGGATGTAGAAGTTGTCATGAGAGCCATCAATCGACTACACAGGACAATCCGAGAGATACAAGAGAATCAGACGTACAATGAGGAAAATATTTGGATGTAGAAGCCGTCAGGAGAATGTTCAATCGAATACACAGGACAAGGCGTGAGAGAGAAGTCAATCAAAAGCATAGGGGACAACATCTTCACAGGCTGCGGAGGAGCTACCTCGAGGTACGAGACTGCGGCAAGGACCCGTGGGGGGGGCGGGGCCGAGTACTGTACCATGTTTCAAAATGGAGCGCTGGTTGTACCGGCAGCTGCAAGTGCGATCATGACCGTGCGGCTGCTGGAAGAAAGTGTGCAAATACAACGGTTATGGCACAAACCCGACAAACCAGAATGTTCGAAGGATGAGGATGCGGCGGAGAAAATACGCTCGCGAGATATCGTCGTGGTGTAGATCACTTTCGTATTAAAAAAATCATTCCAGAAAAGAGATTTACACTAGTACACACGACTTTCGTGCTGTAGAAGGAAGCACAGTTGTACGGCGGGGGTGGTATGTTCCGTGCGAAATGTCTCCATCAAACGTGTCGACTTCAAAGACTCTGACCACAACCTCGTGCTTACGACTGTCCGCCTCCTCCCCCATGTCGCACCCAACGGACAAGTACGGGGGAACAGCGGAAGCAGCCGGATCCGTATCGACCTCGAGCGGTTGACGAAGAACAAACACCTACGGGTCGCCTTCCAAAACAGGACCTCCAGCCGCCCTCCGCCCACGGCGCTCAGGCGGCCAACGGGAGATAACGCCGCCGAGCTGACGGCTACGGTGGTGTCGGCCGCTGCTGAGACCGCGCCGCTGGCGAGGTGCGCACGAGGGCAGAGAGGCTGGTACACGAGCGAAGCGCAGCACAAGATCTCCGAAGCATGTACAGAGATTAAGGCAGCCCAGCAGCAACTGCATGGGGCCTCAAAGGACAGCGCCTGCGAGGCGACCCTGAAGGCGATGCTCAAGGCGGCGTGGAAGAAGCGCAGCATCGCGAGGTGG